ACCAGGAGCCGCTCGCAGTGGGGGGAAGAGAGGAGGGGCTGTGGGCCCCACGGCTGGCCTGGGACATTCTCTCCAGCAGGAAGTGTTAGCAGTGATGGCGAACCTATGACACGCGTGTCAGAGGTGACACGCGAACTCATTTTTTTGGTTGATTTTTCTTTGTTAAATGGCATTTAAATATATAAAATAAATATCGAAAACATAAATCTTTGTTTTACTATGGTTGCAAATATCAAAAAATTTCTATATGTGACACGGCACCAGAGTTAAGTTAGGGTTTTTCAAAATGCTGACACGCCGAGTTCAAAAGGTTCGCCATCACTGTGTTAGGGCCTTGCTCTGCGAGCCAACATCCAGGCTTCCTTTTGGCAGGGCCGGCTCCCAGTTAGGTGGAAAGCCTGGTGTCTTTATGTCTAACTTGCCATCATTTCCCTGCCTTGTGGGGAAGCAAAGGTGAACAGGATCATTTGTTCTTGGGCTGAGCTAAGAGTTTAGCTGCCAGATATCCCTCAGTCTCCCAGTTGTGTTTTAAGAGGCGCTAATGCCAACTCACCGAGCCCTGTCGTAACAACCATAACAACCGGGAAGTTTGGCCTGCTGGGTGTTTGCCAGAGAAGGTTCCTGTGGACGATGGGCGGGACCAGTGGAGCCCTGAGGCTGCACGTGGTGGAATGTGTATGCTTTAGGATTAAGCACGGCCATGGCCTGGGGTTAGACAGAAAGACCAACAGCAGGCGCCCAGGGAGTGCCGGGCTCACAGAGGAGCTGGTTTCGCGTGCCTCCCGCTGGGTGGCGTGGGCAGGCAGAGGGGGCCCTGGCAGGACTGCTGTGCTGCCCCCAGGCCAGATCTCTGCAGGGCGGGCTGGGAGGGCAGGGTTGTTTGCTTTCACGGGGCAGCAGATCCAGCGGTCTGTCTTCAGACTGGGCACCACCCCCCCAGCTCAGGGGCAGATCAGAGGCAGGTCTGCCCCATGGCTTTCTGGGAATCTGCTCCCAGAGCATCACCGTGGCAGGTCTGCCCCATGGCTTTCTGGGAATCTGCTCCCAGAGCATCACCGTCGTAGACTCCTCCCGGAACTGCGATACCTGCCTGGCATGCTGCTCCGTCCAGGAGCCTGCTCGCCTTTGCCACCTTACACAAGACCAGCCCGCTCTTTCCCACACCTTCCATCCTATTACCGCCCATTACCCGTGTGCATGAGAGCTGTTACTGCCCCCACTTTACAGCTGAGGAAACAGGTCCAGGGAGACTAACTGGTCCAAGCTCACACACAGGCATGGAGGTAGGGGCGGCACAGAAACCGGCTTGGGAATGTTAACACACCTGAGGGAAGAGGCAGGATGGCACGGAACATGCCATTTAGTTGTAACATTCTTTTCTTTTCTTTCATCGGAAGCAACTGTGGCCAGTCTGTGTCTGTTACACTGCTTTTTCCTTTTTTATGTTTATTTCAAAACAACACATGTAAACGACAGAGGACACCATAACCTTGGAAACGGCCTGCTGAGTGCCTGGGCCACAGGCTGACCCAGAGCAGTAGGTCCTGTGCACGTCTGTCTGTCTGTCAGGGGCTGCAGCCGGGCACCTCTGTCCGCACCGGTATGCTTGCTGTATATGCTGGCCCTCATTACCATGATTATCCTCAGGTACCTTTATATTGTTTTTGTATGCATTAAAATTTACATACATATTCTAAGTAGCCTTTCACAACATTTTTATTCCACATTTTCTCTTTGAGACATCCATATGATGCAATCTCACTCATCTGACAGCTGTGTAATATTCCACTCCATGAACGAGTCTCATCATTTACCCCATCCTGCCGGCGATGGCGGGGAGCGGGCAGCACCCACACCTCAGACACAGGGGCCGTGCTCCCAGCCAGAGGGCACTCCGGTAGCCAGCGCGCAGTGGGTCTCTGGAGCTGTGCTTCCGCTCCAGGCGGGCGTTTGGAAGGGAGATGGGAATCTTGCCTAAACGAGATGTAGGCAACATGGTTTTCTTAAGTAGGGCCGTCTGCTGGGAATCTGTTATTTCCTTCATCACTGCTGGCGTCCGACTCGGAACTTACTGCTTGTCCTTTATTGGTGGCTATTGTGTTGGGGGAAGTACGAGTGAACCTCATATCTGGCATATTTTAGGGAAGGATATCTGATAAACATGGTCATTAATGTTTACTATGTATTCCAAATGCACACAATGACTCTGGGAGTTAAAGTTGGAAGGGTACTTAGACATCATTTCGTACACCTTCCCCGTTTGAAACATGAAGACATCGGGGGCTGGGAGAGCTGAATGCCGTGTGCAAGATTGAACAGCAATTCACTGACAGGGTTGGGAGTAGGAACAGGGTCCCTGCTCCCTGCATCACAGAAGACAATACACTCAACCAAATCCGATGGAACATTATTTAATTTTCAGTGGCTGGTTTATAGGGCTCCTCAAAGGGCTTTATAAATATAAAACCCATAAATATGTCACTGGAATGTAATATCTGTAGTATGTAGTCAGAAGTTTTCATGCTTTATGTTAATTAAAAGATTAGCTTGTGCTAATATCATCGAGGTGCTTACTACACACCTTAGCTATGTAAATATAGGTATCACTGGGATCCTAGGTTTTCTTCATTTTCAAAGGGAAAACCCCTAACTTGAGGTTCTTGAAGCAGTTCCAAAGTCCACTCACTGTCTCATTTTTAAGTTCACACACTTTACTCCCACTGGGTAGGAGTTGTTGGCAGAAGTTGTTCGATCACATCCATTGAAGACTTTCAGGACAGTTGCTGTTTCTACAATAGTCCCAGCTGCAGTGGTTGGCCGGTGCGTTCTAACTAGAAAGTGCTGGGGCCGGTCATGGGGCTGCTTCCTCCATCGCCCTCTCGCCACATGCTCTGGAGTGACCCGTTTTCAGTGCTAAGAGGGTAAATAGATCCCGGCTGGACCTTCACTACGGTAATATTCCAGGGTTTTCATTAATATTAGTGTCTAATCTCTACATATAATACTTTTAAACTTGCGCAACATCCCCCACGGCCAGAGGAAATAGAAGCCTGACTTGAAATGGTTTCATAGAATCAAGTAAGTTTGGGCATTTACCTGGACGTAAGTCTTCTGGAAAATACTACAGTGAAGGAATTGTTAAACTACAGAAAACATGATCACCTGTAAAACAGGAGTGCCTTATTTGGCTTTTATAACGTAATTTATCTTGCAGTGTGTGAACTGAAGTCTCCCTCCATGAGCGACTTTCTGTGGGGACTGGAGAACTCTGGCTGGTTAAGGCACATCAAGGCCATCATGGACGCAGGCACTTTCATTGCCAAGGTACGTGATGGCACAGAAAGTAAGCGAAGGGGCAGAGCAGCCAGCACACTCCGCTGCCCTGCGCGCAGCTGTGCCGCCGGAGTGGGGGGCTGCTGTGCACGCCTCCAAGTTCGCCAGCTGGAGATGGGATTTTGCGAGAGAGGTCAGTGCTCAGTTAGTTGACAGTATGTCAGCACGGCAGTCAAGTGGTAAAAGACTTACAGAATATCCTCTGCAGTTAGGCTTCCTGGGTGGAGGAAATAATTCTTTGTACAGGCGAGTGCGTCCACTGCAGGAACGCAGGCCCTTTGTTGAATAATGCGTTTATTCGGAAGATGTTTACTTGGTGCCCGCACTGCACTTTCCTAGGTGCCGAGCAGGCAATGTGCAATAAACCAGTCTCCACGGAGCTGACCTTCTGGGGTGGGAGACCAAAAATGAGCAAAAGGAGAGTTTCAGGCAGTGATGAGTGCCGTGACAAAACCTCCCTTTCCCAGTCTGCTTCCTGTCAAGATGCTCGGCTAAAATTCTGCAAATTTGCGTATTTGCGATAGCAAATAGAAATTCTTTCCGTAGCAAACTTGCTGCTATTATTTTTACCTTTGTTTTCTCCCTTCCCCCAACCCTGGATCCATTACTTGGCTCTTATCCTTTTATCTCTGATTTCATAGTTTTACCATTTTTTTATTTTTGTCTTTTCCTTTTGAAAAAAGGCAAAGGCCAATAGGAGACCCATAATTTCAATAAGGGAAAGGCTTAAGGTGGAAACCCAGAGAGGAAGCGGGCGGCGTGTCAAAGGTGGGCTAGGCGGTGTCTCAGAGGTGTTTGTCCAGCACGTGGTGTGGACTGTGTAGTGCACATGCTCAGCCGAGGTGGCCTCGTGGTCACTTCTGGATCTAGTGTCCTGGGAAGGGAAGCTTTGGCCACCAGCATCCGTCAGATGAGGGTGTGAACACTCAATGAATGAAGTCACTGGCGTTTTTGTCCGTTTCTGCGAGTACGAAACTGAACCTCGTCCTGATGAGATGTCCCGTGTTTACGGCCATTCCCTGTGGACTGTGCTGACCCTGTTTTCCAGGCAGTCGCAGAGGAAGGGGCCAGTGTGCTCGTGCACTGCTCCGACGGCTGGGACAGGACCGCGCAGGTGTGCTCCGTGGCCAGCCTCCTGCTGGACCCGCACTACCGGACCCTGAAGGGCTTCATGGTGAGTCGGCCGCCGGGCCCCTGTCCCACGCAGGGTCCTGAATGTAACTATGAGCAATTTTTTCATTTTTTTTCCTCATCAACATTATTTTTCTCTTAGATCAGCAAGATGAATTAAAGGAGAAATAGGCTTAAAAGGGGTAAAGTCCAAGATGTTGGAACAAAAAAAACAATGCTATTAAATGTGAATTTAGGGGCTAATATGAAATACATTCAGTAGTTTGTAAAATAGTTTTACTCAGCATTTGCTCATGGGAATTTCAAGTTTGAAGTAGTGTGAATATAACAAAAATTCAAATTTTTAAAAATTGGAGATAATCTATATAGAGCAGCAGTTCTCAACCTGTGGGTCTCGACCCCTTTGGCGGTCAAACCACCCTTTCACAGGGGTCGCCTAAGACCATCCTGCATATCAGATATTTACATTACGATTCATAACAGTAGCAACATTACAGTTATGAAGTAGCAACGAAAATAATTTTATGGTTGGGTCACAACATGAGGAACTGTATTTAAAGGGCCAGAAGGTTGAGAACCACTGATACAGAGCATGCACAAAAGTCCTTGAGAGGAAAAACTGTATTGTTTTGTTTTCACTTACTGCTTTTGTTTAAGCAGTCCTTTACAACTCTGGATGACAGTATTGAAAACCTGTTTACGTGGCCTCTGCTGAAACTATGAGCATATCCTCTTAGATTCTGCACCCTTTGGGTATCAGAATGTGACACGCTGCTTTCAGCTGCAGAATGTGTGTATAGTTGCCTGAAGTGGAGACGCTTTGACCACACTGGACCATTTTCTTAAAATGACTGCAGAGACCTCCTAGCGACTGAGTCTGCTTCCTGCCTCCTGCCCGTGGTTTGGTGGGAAGTGCTTCGGGGGGTCCTGAATCCATGGCAGGGACAGATGCTGACAGACGAGCCACATGGGTGTCTTTATGAGGACATTAGTTGACACTCGGGGACAAGAGAGGCAGGTTTCCTTTCTCGGGCTTTTTCTTTTTCAAAGTGTCAGCGAACGCACTCCTGTCTCAGCTCCCCCCTGCACTGAGGTCAGAGGGCTGGACCCCTTCGTTTATACTTGGACAGTGGAGGGATTCTGAAACACAACCCCCAGAGGGCCTCTCCTTCATCACCACCAGCCTTTCTGATTGTCTTCCTCCATTTGCGAGCTGTCAAGGACAAACTTCAACCACTCCATACTTTTTAAGGGGAGCCTCTGGCCAGCTTGGAGCATTGGTGATATTGATGGGATTCTTCTGTATCATTTACAATTAAATTTGAAACTCCTATTACCCCCTCACTGCAAAGCAGGGCTGAAGCTCCTACCATGCCCCCATCATTTTAGAATGCTTCTAATCCACAGGAAAGATCTCTGGATTTTACAGTTCTTCCTAAGCAGAGTAAAGTTCACTGGAAAACATTCCAGGTTGTTTCTTATAAGAAGGTTGGTTTTAGTTGAGATGGGCTTTGGTGTAGAGCTAGGTTGAGGTGGAAGCACCACTTCCTAGTAGTGTGATCTTAGGTGAGGACCTAACCCCCATTCAGTTCCCCCTTCTGCAGACAGAGGCTGATAATACCTACCCTATGATGAAATGAGATCATGTAAGCAGCAGTATGAGCTGTGACTCATAGCACTCAGTGGGTGGTGATACTAACATGTTCATATACCGATTCCCATTTGTTTTTCCTATGGATGACCTTCAGCTTTGCCCGTCCGATACACACCTCTGTACTGGTGGGCAATGAGAGCTCACTCATTTGCAGGTTACCCAAGGAGAGTGACTTCTCCAAGAACCTCTGAATCCTTGTGGTCTCTTATTTTTCCTGGTTTGCTTCCCTCCATGATATTTATGTTCTTTCTTGTGTAGGTATTAATTGAAAAGGACTGGATCTCCTTTGGCCATAAGTTTAATCACAGGTAAGAAATATTTTAAAATCTGTTTTAAATGCTTAGGATTAAAAAAATACGTTTAAGTTCTCAATTAACTGGGGGAAATAGCCTTATATCAGAGGTTCTCAACCTGTGGGTTGCGACTCCTTTGGGGGCCGAACGACCCTTTCACAGGGGTCGCATAAGGCCATGGGAAAACACATATATAATTACATATTGTTTTTGTGATTAATCACTATGCTTTAATTATGTTCAATTTGTAACAATGAAAATACATCCTGCATATCAGATATTTACATTACGATTCATAACAGCAAAATTACAGTCATGAAGTAGCAACGAAAATTTTATGGTTGGGTGTCACCACAACATGAGGAACTGTATTAAAGGGTCGCAGCATTAGGAAGGTTGAGAACCACTGCCTTATATGTTTAAGTGTCTTTGTGTATCTTCATCAAAAAGTTAAAATTTCGTTGTGCACCTTGTATCACAGATAAATGAAGTTGAGTCCTTCTGATGAGAACTAATGCTAACTATTCCATTTCTGAGGTGCAGACATGCACTCTAAGCTGCAAGTTGTGAAAGGCGGTGCAAGTCTTCTTTGATCTTTCACTGAGGGAGGCCATTTGGGTTGTCCTGAGGCACTTGTGTCCTGGGTGACGTCTCTGGGGAGGAAATGCACGACAGTGGCCGAGGCACTGCAGCCAGATGCAGGCTGTGGCATTTACCAGCTGCGTGGCCTTGGGTGTCTGTCCCCTCTGAGCGTTGGCATCCCATCCGTGAAACGGGGCTACCCTCCCTATTCCACAGCTTATAGCAAGGGTTTTTAAAAAGTTTACATAACTAGCCTAACTCCTTGCCTGGCCCGTATATGAGGCTTTCAGATACACAGAAGCTACTGTTTTTGGAGACCCCAGCCGCATTTTGTTAGTGTGGATGATAATGCCTGACTGTGTTCTCTAACCTCCAAAATGTTCAATGTTATAGCTGGTGTACTCTGGCCCTTTGTGTTAAAGTTTAAATTTAGGCAGCATGCTAATAATTTAATTAGGTACTTACTTTTCCAGGAAAGCAAAATGATTCCATTTTACGAATGAATTAAAGCCTTCAAACAATTAAGTAACCTTAAGATCATTGTTATCAGTTTTGGGGTTCTGACTGTATGTGCTAAGCAGTTAAAATCTCTGAGATAGAGGACATATGGACAGAAAGAATTGGGAAATGCTGAAGACTAGATGGATCACTGTTTTATGAGGAAAGACTAGGCAATCCTTTTTAAAGCTATCATTTTTTTTAGGTGAGTAGAACTGAAACTCTTGAGAAGTTTCCAGACAATTTCTAATGTTTCCATTCTCGAAAAA